CCCCAAAACCCCAAAACCCCAAAACCCCAAAACCCCTCCCAGTAATAAAAAATGGAACCACAGGAAGACCTCCACTCCAAAACCAGCCCAAACAGAGCTTCCTGGTCTAGAAGCCAGCCTTCCTCCAGCTCCTTCCTGAGAAATAGAGAAGTACAGATTTTAGGAACAAGACTAGAAGAGATTGACAGTGTAGTCGAAGAGATGGAAGGTGAGATAGAGCATTATGCTTCAGGGGTGGTGGTCTGTATGGGGGTAGGGTGGGGAAATTAGCCAGGAGAGTGAGAGGGCTGATTGGGGGTAGAAGAGCAGGATTTGGGAGGTATGAAGAGGGTTGAGCGGGTGAGAGAGCGTGGGGCATTGTTGTGGAAGGGTTTTGAGTCAGGTGTTTTAGAGTATGAAGAAATGAAGAGAGATGTCAAGGGAAAGAATAACAGCTCAAAACTTGATGAGTCTAAATCTTCTTTACAAGACTCCAAAACTTACTCTGACTGCTATGAAAACATAATATTTTAACATGCTAGAAGGAGGACACCGAATCGGTCCTCACAACTGCTTAAATATATTCCTCAGCAACACTTACCATCATCCGTTCCTAACCAAACTGAGCAAACTTCACCTCCCCAAACTATCCAAAACATTACTATGCGACCTGACTAGACCAAGCGGACACATTAAACGATTCCTATCCCACTGCATACTTCCAACCAATCTCCAAATTCTTTCACTAAAATGTCTTAACCTAAGCCCAATTACTGCTTATCTCCCTTCACTCATAAAATCATGCCACAAGGCGACAAGCTTGATCGACTTGGGCCACTTCGTGCTCTATGGGCGAGAACTGAAGAAATTATTTGTAGCAGTGAGGTTAGTGAAGACAGTGAGGTTCCAGCAGTGTAGGATTGGGATGAGGGAGAACGGGAGGTGGACGAGGGCTATGAGAGGGAGTTGTATTAAGGAAATAGAGCTATGGGATTGAGAAAAACCTGAATACAGTAACTGGTCATCGGACAAGTCAGGGTTAAGTCATCTAGCAAATTGGTTTTCCAATACAGATCTTCGGGACACTCTAAAGGAAGTTGGGTTTGGATATACTCATCTGCTGGCCAAGAGAGATGTTGAAGAAGTTTTTGAGGAAAATGGTCTTGGCCATGTTCAAATAACTGGAAATTTTGCCTATGATTAAGATCTTTAAAAGAGAATATCTTCATAAAATTTAGAACACTATACGGCCAGGCATAATTTGTAACTCCTGAAGATTTCAATTAATCATCAACTCTAAGGGGTTTTGGGGTTTTGGGGTTTTGGGGTTTTGGGGTTTTGGGGTTTTGGGG